CTTCACATTTTGCAAAATTATAAACAAATGGAAACATGAGGTCTATTTCTGATTTATGTTTTTGTGAGAAGTTCTAAATTTATGTTCAGTCAGATAATAGGCTCAACAATGGCGGGAAGTGGGGAATGATGGAGATATCTAATTCTCTAAGCCAGCTGTACTTGGAGGAATAACTAGGCCAAGCCAGGTTCAAAAATTTCAATCATGACATTTAATTCATTCTGTTCCACAAGGAAGTAATGATAGCTACTGTATAAGAGCTTAATATGAAGACATGGAACCAAAGGGAAGACCTGGACATTGTAGGGGAAAAATAAGCCTTGGTACTGAAGGTCTTTAGAAGGATCTTGTTATTCCATTGTGAGAAACATTTTACTTTCCCACTGAAGAGTAAGAAGTCAGAGCAAAATACTATATCAAGAGTACACCAAGCTGTACACTTATGGAAAGTATTACTGAAATGATTTTTCCAACAGTCTTCACATTATATGTTTTTCTCCCTTGATTTATTAAGCACCAGGACTGAAAAACGTAACTTGTGAGTTAGAAACCAGGAGATCTTCCTGCAATAGGCAGTCAAACTGAACATTCACACGCCAACTAAATCTACTAACTTCAATTATCACAGAATGAGGATATTTACTAGAGCTGGCTTAACAATGTAACAAAAATAAAGCCCAAACCATACTCTCTGTCAAAGTCATCATAATTTTGGAGATTTAGAATTTTATTCAATGACACAAAAGCGACAGCTCCTTAGAAGCAGTTAGTCTGTGGTAGAGGCAGACGGTAGACACACATTGAGGAAACTGCCGCGCGAGCCTCTAAGGGCAACCGTCAGGTCTTCTCAGATGCCCCTGCTCTCTGCGTGGCATCCAAGTGAAGTTCATCCACTCTATCGATGACGATCCACTTGTACCAATGTAGCACTTGGATCCTCAGAAACTAAGTAAGCATTGGAGGCCATCCTGCACTGAACCAGAACACTGCAACCTTGGGAACGGCTTTGAGCTGCAAACTCACATTGCGATCCCCAGCAAAGAAAACATGGCTCAACTGCACTGACCCGAACACTGCAACCTTTGGAAGGGATCTGAGCTGAAAGTTCACATTGCGCTACCCAGTGCAAAGTAACTATTGGAAGCTCTTCAATGCTGACTCAGAAAACTGTAACCTTCGGGATGGACCTAACTGCTGACTAGCGCTAAGTTAAAGAGATCCCGGTATCATGATATCTCTCTTCTTAAACAACAACCCTGCTAAGATTCCTTACAAGACCATCATCTGTGCCAGCTTGCAGTTTTTGGTTGGCACTACTCTCATCGTGACGGGCTGCCTTCTGCTGACCGGCTGCATCAGCCCCATGGGGACCAGCCGGGTCATTGTAATCCTGATTGTGGGCTTCTTGGTGTTTGTGCCAGGGTGTTACCATCTGATCGTCATCTGTAGATCCTGCAGAGGCTGCCAGAGCTACTCTTACAGTGACCTTACAACTGAGGACTAGCCCACAACAGCAGGGAAGGGGCTTACAGGTGGGACTGAACAAACCTGCAAGGCACTGGCAGGAGGAAAACTGCACCTGGAATGAAAGAATTCTGCAGCTTTATAAATGATAAATAAAATTATGAACATAGTTTACAAGTTCATTCCAAAAGGCAGCTTGAACTTACAGCTAGCCAAAGGTCAAAATATGTCTATTTTAATCCCCTAACATTCCCAAAAACACCTGTTAAAATTTCTACATGGATATTTATAGTCAGAGAACAGCATGAAATCCTGAACCTGTGTGGTAGTGTGGGGATACCACCATTCTATGCAGAATTAAACATACATTTAAAACTCCTGGTTGACAGTTTTACTATGTGGCAACTGGAAAAAGCTAATAACAATTTTGTTATAATAATTGATTTTTAGATTTATGATCCTTTACTTATCTCTTACTTTATAGTCTAGGTATGATTTAGTAAAACCAAATATCATTTGAGTGAAAAATACTATTGCTTTTCTGAGCAGGGGCCCCTTTTGCTTTTAGAACCAAACTTACTTAAATTCAAGATGCAAGCTTTCTTAGCCATGTAGCCTTGGAAAGATTACCTTAAAACAGTGAGAATTTGGAAGCACCGTTCCTACTGTTTGAGATCCTGGTAAGCAAAGTATCTTAGATCAGTGGCATGAGATAGGAATAATCAAAGAAAACTTAATTCTTCTCTGGAAAATAAGCTTCTTTCCTCCCTCTCACCTTATCACTTCTGGCAGGTGAGAGAGCCAGCCTGGGGATCAAAAGAGTGGGAGAGCTGGCCCTGTCCCTCACTGGCTGCAGCACACAGGAGAATAGGCCCTGTACCTCACCTGGGGCATCATAGTAGAGTTGACTGTGTTGGCAAGGATAAAAGTGAACCAGCCCTGAGGGTGTGAGAAAAGGAGAGCTGACCCCACTTCCCTTAGTTGCCATGTGGTGTCAGGGTGAGGGAAAGAAGCCCCTCCTTGCCACCTGTGGCAGATGGGAGAGCAGGTCTGGAGGCCACGAGAGTGGGAGAGCTGGTCCTGTCCCTCCCCAACCACAGCACTCAGGAGAGCAGGCCCTGATCCTCACCTGAGCAAAATAGTAGCGCTAGCCCTGGTGGTGTGGATGCAGGTGAGCTGGCCCAGCTCCTGTTTATCTGCTGCATTGGGTGAGGTAGCCAGGGCAGCGCTGGAGTGCTCACCCTGGTAATGATAATGAGGGAAAGCTGGCAAACTGACAAGCCCAGCTACCACCCAGGCCCAGAATTTGGGCTATGTCTTGGTCCACCCCAACATCCACCAAGTCTATGAACTCTTGGAGCATGTGATGAGTACCTGCAGATCCAGACAGAGCTACTGGATCTCTATGACACAAGGCAACAATGGGATATCCAAGAGCAAACACAGTGAGGGCCCAGTATTCAGGGCATAGCAGAAGCCAGAGGCCTCACAATAGACCAATGAGCATTGCAATAAACACTTACAAGTAAAGATGTATGGACTAAAGAGTGTACTGTGTGACTCGCTGTTTCACATACAGATTCCACACCAAGACCTTTTGTTTTTGTTTTGTGTTTTTCTTTTTGCTTTCATTTTATGTTGGGGTGGCAGTTGCAAGAGCAGAAGGGGAGATGAGTGGGATTGGGGTACATGATGTGAAATCCACAAAGAATCAATTAAGTTTTTTAATAGGCTTCTTTAGAAGAACATAGATCAATTTAACTATAAATTACCAACAAGTTGCTGCCATTCACTTCAGTCTACTAGAGGAGCATCATCCCTGAGGAGAAAGGGACTATTCATATAAAGCTGCAATCTCAGCAAGAAGTACGACACTAGGGTGATGCTTATTTGTATCAGCCTCTCTTTTGAGGCTGTTTTACAAATAGGGCAGATCCAAGATTAATGGGGCCTTCAGCCTGTTTATTTTGGAGGAGTCTTCTACTAAGAAAATAAAAATTATAAATATGAAATTTATGAGAAAGTCTAGCAATGGTTGGGCTTGAACCTAAGATTCATTAATCTCAGACTAAATCTGACTTTGGTACAGAGGATAAACAATCAACAGGAGGAGACTGCATAAACATGTCTGCCATTGAGCTGTGTGGCACCGGATAAAAAGGGACAGTTAGTGAAATCAAAGTAGGATCCTCCCACCTATTAAAGTAAGAGCCTTCCTAACCGGCTCAGAATAAGCCAAATGGATCACTGACCAAGCTAAGGGAGGCCCAGGGTCCTAAAAGAATTCACCAACCATCCAGGAAGAACTAACAGCAGATGTCCTGTATTCAATGGGTTCATCCAGGCATGCGGATCCCTCCTGGGTGATTCCTCCAGGGAAGAGAAGATCAATCTTGACATCCCACACTGTGGCGCCATAATCGTTGATGCAAAAACCACATCTATCATCTTAAACGTAAAAGAGATAGTTTATTCTGGAGCCATTTTGAGTGATTGTGACGAAGGAACACAGATTTAGGTTTCCCTAAATTCTATGCTGAAATGTGGGAGCAGTTTCATGAAGTTTTTATCATTTCATAAACAAAAAAATATCATAAATCAAGGCAAGTTTAAAATACTGTGATGGGTACATCAGAGAGGGAGATACGACAATGTGTGTTATCTATCCCATGACATTTGGCAGAAGTTAGTGGTCTGCTAAGCTAATAGATTTCAAAAAGGCTTCTATCTATTGTCACAAGATGTTAGTTGCGTCACAGTGGGGCAAGAAATGGCTGCTCTAGAGGACCAGAACTTGTCACATAAGGTAATTAGCTTCTGACCTTCAACATGCCAATCTCTCCACAGTACCAAATTCTAATCCACCACTTGGTCTCTGCAGACACTGATTCACAGCTAGATGCAGCTTCCTTTCAGAAGCTGCCATTCACAGTAGGTTGGCTCAATGAGATGCAAATGCACTGTGAGACTGCCTTTGGGGCTCTCCTGGTGCCTGAAACACCATCTATTCCCACGCCATTGTCAGCTAACCTATAAGATTCTCTTGGTGCACTCAACACCCCACCAGTGTCTTTATCTGTCTCTCGAAACGTGGGAGGTACACAGAGAACGATCGGCTTTCCACTAGTTCAGATCTCATTCTACATATCATGCCTAAATCAAGCTGTTAAAGTTTTTCAGCCCCAGATCACAGTTCCTCCCAGTGGGTGCTTTAGGCTGAAGAATTGCTGGTCTTGGGTTTCTAAAACAAAACCGAAAGGGTCTGGTTCGGATTGGCTGAGCTAGGACGAATGACAGATACTTCACCAAATCACAAAACTAGAGTTTTCTTCTTAGTCCCCGCCTTAGAATCGCAGCAACAGGGCTGCTTGATTTTTTTTTCAAAGCAAAGGCCAGCCTGGGGTTGCTATGGAGACAGGACGCTGCAACCTGCACAGCAGGTAGGACTGATCACTTGGAGAACTTAGCAAAGCTCTGTATTGCTTCCTTCCGTAACTTCATTCTCCCTTCAACCGATTTTTTTTTTCTTGAATCCTATGGAAAACTCCACTTTAAAGCAAGAAGAAGAAAACCAAGAGCCTGGAGAAGCAGAGAAGCCATGGGAAGGAGCGGCAGCAGCTTCTCCCCTGGATCCCGGTCCCCTGTCACCTGAGTACCTGGAAAAGGAGCAAAGGTCAGACACTGAAACCCAAGGCACAATGAGCCCCTCTTTGGGCCGCCAATCTAGAGCCAGCCTGTCTCTTGGATACCTCATGGGACCAGAAGTGCCATTCTCCCCTCCTGTGCTTCCGCTGGAGTCTCACTTCGGTCCTCCCCCGACTGCATCTACCCAGGACCCTGTGGCTTCATCACAGGCAAAGAAGAACCCCGGTGGGATTCCTGGCACTGCAACACCACCTCACTCTGAGGCTTGGGAACCATATTCTGCTGCAAGACAATTATCTTTTTACTACACAAGCCAAACAGAGGAATGCACCTCTGCACCCTCTCAGCCACCCCAGTTTGACTTGTGTAGGCCAGGGGATGCCAGCCATAACAAGCCCAAGCCCAAAGGGCTGAGATTCAACCTTTTACAGGAAGAAGACTCAAACAGTAACTGTGATTCAGACGAACCTGAGTTTGAAGCTAATAAAGCAGCTCCCAGTATGCTTGAGGTGGCTATTCAAAATGCAAAGGCATACCTACTGAGCACCAGCAGCAAGTCTGGTTTAAATCTGTAAGTTTCACTGGGAGTGGGGGGAGGGACAGTGTGACAAAGCAGGGCAGGGGCAGTGGGCAGGAGTGTCTCTGTGAAAATGTGTTGGAGACAAAAAAGGTAGAATTGGAAAGAATTCCATGTGGAAAAAGAAAAGGTATTGTGTATGGTAGAATAGGCCTTTAATCTCAGGACCTGGGAGTGGAGGTAGAGGCAGGCAGATCACTGTTATAGGTCTGCCTGGTCTACACAGCAAGGTCCAGGTCAGCTAAGGCAACACATTGGGACCCTATCTCAAAAACTAACAAACAGAGGAGAGGAAAGACAAGGAAAGTGAATTGGTGAGATAACTGCATCAAGCACTCAAATCCAGGCCCTGTTCATGATTCTTTCAGGTCTTTGAAGACCCTAGGAAGACCATTCAAATATTTTCTGTTTCTTTTGGGCCTCATTGTTATTTGGTTTATTTACTCTTGACTTGGAAGGAGTTACAAAGTCATGAAATCTAAGCCCTTACCCAGGGTGCCTCTAAAAATATAACTGCCTATGATGGCAGTGCACTCTCATCCCAGGACTTGTGTAGGTGGACTGTATGTTCAGTCCCAGGCCAGTGATGAGGTGACCACCCATCCTGGTTTGTAGTGTTATGAGCGGCAGGGCTGCGTCCCCAGCACCCCGGCCGCCTGCTAGCTTATGCCCCGAAATAATTACACGGACACTGTATTCGTTTAAACACTGCTTGGCCCATTTCTATCTAGCCTCTTCTCAGCTAACTCTCGCACCTGGACTAGCCCATTTCCAATCATGTGTGTAGCACCCCAAGGTGCGCTTACCGGGAAGATTCTAGCCTAAGTCCATCCTGGGTTGGAGCTAAATCGCGTCTGCCCGGGAGAGGGGAGCATGGCGTCTCTGCTCCAGAGAGCAGAGCTGTCGAGTCTGACCTCACTTCCTCTTCCTCCCAGCATTTTGTTCTGTTTACTCCTCCCACCTATGTTTTAACCTATGAGGCCAAGCAGTTTCTTTATTACTTAACCAATGACCTTCCTCCATCATTTCCCCTTTTTCTGTTTAAACAAAAAGGAAAGGCTTTAACTTTAACATAGAAAAATTACATATAACAAAACAGTTATCAAGTAAAAATTACAATATTTACATCTATTTTATCTTTATCATAAGTAAGGAAAACAACTATAACTATCTATCTATTCTTCAACACCATCAGAGACTCCAGAAGAATATAATATTACCCAAGTAAATAAGAAGTAAGCAACTTTCAAACTCTAGAAATGACAGAGACATCTCGCTGCCTGTACAGTCACCCAAAGTTCCTCTGTACCGTTGGGGCATCAATCTTCAGCCTTCAGGCCCATAGTATCCAGCAGACATTTCCATGAAGCAGGAAAATTCAAAGTCAGTTCAGTTACTATCTGTTGTGTCCTGCAGAATGTCTTGCAGACTCCTTCATGAATCAGGAACCCCGAAAGATCATCTCACCTTTAGACAAGTTCAGTAGTCCTCTCTGCAGGTTCTGTTTCCAGTTTATGCAATAGTCCAGGCAAGAGCAGTTTCTTGCCCAAATGGCTATCAAACTCCATAAGGATCCTCTTCGATGCCCATCTTCCTCTTGAAGTAGATGCTTCAGAACTCAGCTGCCATGGAACTCTCTTGCAGTAATGTATTCTTTTATTTCATGGTACTTTGTGATATTTATAATTTTACAATTGTTTTTGAACTTATATTTTGATGCCTGGCCTTCCTGCTAGTGATCATCATCCTCCAAACTATGAGTAAATATCAGCAAGAACTAGAGGTTACACCTTCCAAATACAATGTGGGTGCATGTGAGTACTGGAAACCCAACTTGAGTCCTCTAAAAGAGCAGGAAGTACTCTTAACCATTACATAACTCCAGGTCATAAAAAATTTTAATTATGTATCTATGTGTGGGTATATGCTTATGAATGTGGGTGTCCTTGGAGGTCATGATATTGGATCCCATGGATCTGGTGTTTAGTTTCCACATTTCTTTTCAGCTGACAGCGTTTACTAACAAAACAGAAGGCAATTCAATAGATCTTGATGATATTGGAAACAAAGTCACAGAAGACATAGGCTAAAGACTTTGTCACTGTTTCATCATTAATTCACCCATCCATCCATGTATCCATTCATCCTCCATCCACTCATCCATCCATCCATCCAACCAGCCAGCCAGCCAGCTGGCCATCTATCCATCCATTCATTTATGTGTCCATCTATCCATCCATCATTCATCCATCCATTTGTTTATCTATCCATCCATCATCCATTCTTCATCTATTTATCCATGCATCCATTCATTCATAAATTCATCTATTCATCCATTCATCTATTCATCCATCCATTGATCCATCCATCCATGCATACATCCATTCATCTTTCCATCCATGCATCCGTTCATCTTTCCATCCATCCATCCATCCATCCATCCATCCATCTATACACCCATCAACCATCCATCCATTCATCTTCCCATCCATTCATCTAGTCATCCATCATCCATCCATGCATTAGTCTACCCATCCAACCATCCATCTACACATCCATCCATCCATTCATCCATCTACACATCCAGCCATCCATCTACACATCCATCCATCTACTCATTCTTACTCTGTAAATCAGTATTGTGCAAAGAGAGAACTGTATAGTAGTGTGAAAAGCCCATTCCTCACCTTTAAACCTGGTGCATAAAAACTATGGAGTATGAATTGTGAACAAAGTATGGGAGGGTAAATGAGTTTTACTAATTTAATTGTGAAACAGAGTATATAAAAATGTCATAATTACCACTCCAGGAGAAGACACATGTATAAGAATATTTAGGCAGCATGAACTGGCTTTAATGGAAGGAGAAAAAGGACACAAAGTTGAGTGTGTGTATCTGGGAAGCATTGGGAGGGAGAGGGGAATATGATCAAAACACATGTAAAATTCTCCAAGAATTAACAAGAATAGTTTAGAATAAGAGAAAGAAGCAAAGAATTTGGTGATTTGTCTTTACCTGAACCTGGGCAGATAACACTATGAAATGCTTCTTTGGAAGTCCAAAAACAATGAAGCAAAATGTTACTTTTAAAACTTTGATGTAGGAGGTGAAGAGAGGGCTCAGCAGTTAAGAGCACTCCTGCTCTTGCAGGAGACCAGGATTTGGTAGCCAGTACCCACATGCTAGCTCACTACCATCCTTTAATTCTGGTTCTAGAGTATCCAATAATTTGTGACCTTCTCAGGAACCAGAACACAAATGATACACATGCATACATGTAAGCAAAACACTCACATGCATTAAATAAAATAAACCTTAAAAAAAGATGTAGATGCTAGAAAAATGGTTCTGCAATTATGAGCATGTGCTTGCTCTTGCAGAGGACTAGTGTTTGGTTTCCAGCACCAATATTATGTAACTCACAAAGCACCTACAACTCAGGATCCAGGAGATCTGGCATGGGCACCTGCTTTCACATGCACATACTCACATGCATAGACATAATTGGAAATCCTTTAACATATATAAGGTGGCAAGCACACAGCTCTTAAAGAATGAACAGTATTTGATATCAGATTGTATTTGGTGAGGGCAAGGATGAGGAACAGGAAATAACTGATGTAAGAGTAAAAAACATGCATCACTGTTAGCATATAGTTAGGAGATTTTAACTTCAGAAATGAAATGTGAAAAGAACTGATGTGTATTATATATCTTGCTGTTATACTTTCCTCTACTAACTTAAATATCCACACCGTATTAGAAACTTTACTAAAGAAAATTTTAGAGTAGGTTCTATCTGGAGTGATAGAAATTAGCTTCTCTTCAAAATCTCTTAAGATTTCAAATTTTTAACTTTCTTAAAACCCAACTGAATTTGCATGAAAAAAATTTCAAATGTTCATGATGTATGCTATCTGGAATTTTCTCTGTTTGGTAGATATGATCATCTTTCTAATGTGTTGACCATGATATTAGAGGAGCGTCCTGCAGATGCTGTTGACATCATTGAAAATATAAGCAAAGATGTGAAGATGGCAAATTTTAATAAAAAGTTAGATACACTCCACAATGAAAATGAGATGCTTCCAGCATATGAAATAGCAGAGAAGCAAAAGGCTCTTTTTCTCCAGGGACCATTGGAAGGAGCTGATCAAGAACTGGAGGAGGAAATTGTAAGTGATCACCAACTATCTCAACATTATTTTAATGAGCACTGGAATCCCAGAGATGAGTGGGCTTGCCTCATCAATACACCATCTTATAGCTCTGTAAATAACTGTAAGTCATTACCAAATTTCTCGATGCTGCTAATGAACACTGGAATCTCAGGGATGAACGAGGTTGCTGGTCTACTAAGTGAGCTCTAGACCAGCAATGAATTTATAGTGAGGTTTTTTTTTTTTTTTTATCACAAGAGAGGGTGAGAAGCTGGAGAGAGGGCTCAATGGTTATGAGCACAGGCTACTTTTCCAGAGGACCTAGATTTGGTTCCAAGCACCACATGAAGGCTCACAACCATAACTCCATTCCAAGGGGATATAACACATACATATGGTGTACAAACATACATGCTAGCAAAACACCAATCCACATTAAAATAAAGGCTAAATAGACTTTAAGGTAAGCACACACAGAGTGTTTGGTAGGCTATGTCATCTAGTCTTGACGAAGTTCACTCCATGATATTTGCAAGACCAACCTGCTGAATGAAATCTCTTCAAATGTGCCACCATCAAGTGATGCATGACTGTAAAAGCCTTATATCAATTTGCATATTTTCCTTTAAATTAAGTTCAAAACATAAAAGTACTTCTATTGTCACTTCCAATGTGTGGTCGTTTTTAGGGTAAGATCCATTTGTCTGGGTATTTACTATAGTTTAGCCATGGTTCAAATTACAAGCAGTTAGAAATAAAATTCTTTTTAAAATCAAAAGTCAAATTGGTGAAAATATTTGGAGAAAGAATTGGTAACAGAAGGCAGAAAATACATAGTTTGGAGTAAAATCTGGTGACACAAAATTTTGAACTTCAAATACTTCAAAATAGCATACTATATCTTTTTCCATAAATGTTTGTATACTTAAAAATTTATATATAACTTCATGTTCTAGTAACAACAAACTATTTACAATAATTTTAAATAAACTGCTTTCAAAATAGAATTTTCAGATAAAAGCAAAGGAGGCAGGGGCTTGACTGCTCCCACAGAGCCTTGGTGTAGCAGCCTTTGGGAAGAAACGCAGCCTGAGGCAAAGAGACCAATAGTCCTTGGATGGAAGGAATCTGTGATAGAAGCAAGGAGCTAATGCCAGGCTGCCTTGCACAGTGGCATTGGAGTATGGGTCAAATACAACCACGAGAACTGTAGGAGCATTCAGTATGTGGGGATCAAGCAGATGGCAGACATTCTCAGGGATAACTTATTAAGAAACATCAGTATTCAGTACAGGAACGGGCCCCCAGCTGTCTTAGGCAACTTCAGTAGATCAGGATCTACACCCAGATACAGGAGGTGAGTGAGAAGACACATAGCTGGTTTGGGTCTGAAGACTGACCACCCTTGACCCAGCGTCTTCCTAATAAAGGTCAGGCCAGCAGCCATGGAATATCAGAGCTGAGTTATGGGATGAAGAGTACAGCTTCACATTGGGGGCAAAAAGAAGGTAAAGGTTTCTACTGTCACGCCTAAAGACCTACCTGGGTTCAACCCTGGGGCCTACATGCTTAAGGACAGAACCAACTTCAGAAAGTTGTCCTTTGACCTTCACTGTTGTGCTCCTGACCCCATGACATTGTAGCTAAGTGAGCAGGACCAAGAGCAAGTAATATTCTACATGCCCGGGAAAGAATTTTAAAATTATGTCACAGGTGAGGATTTTAAAGGTCATTGTATTAGTCAAGCCAAATGGCTTTTAATTCCAGAACTCAGAGGCAAAGGCATACAGATCTCTGTGAGTTCAAGACCAGCCTGGATGACAGAGTGAGTTCCAAGAAAGCCAGGGTTACATATACATTAAGACCTGTCTCGGGGGCTGGAGAGATGGCTCAGAGGTTAAGAGCATTGCCTGCTCTTCCAAAGGTCCTGAGTTCAATTCCCAGCAACCACATGGTGGCTCACAACCATCTGTAATGGGGTCTGGGGCCCTCTTCTGGCCTGCAGGCATGCACGCAGACAGAATATTGTATACATAATAAATACATAAATATTTAAAAAAAAAGACCTGTCTCAACCAAAATCAAACAAACAAACAACCTCCACCAAAGTCTTCATATTTTTCTTGACACCACAATGGGAAACTATAAACACTTGCAAATCATTTGTGAGAACGATGAGTGCTCATAACTGCTCTGGGAAGCATCCCACTTTAGCTAAAGTTCTTTTGAATTTCCATTTTCTCTTCTAACTGTAGCTATTCTAGTGTCCATTTAGCACTCTGTATTCATTTCCCTGTATTTCTTTTATGGAATTATGTTTATCTTCATTATTTCAAATGTTATTATATACTACATATACTGTCAAGTACTTATATTTTGGTTTTAAAGTGTAGCTCATTCCAAGCAATTCAAAAAATATTTACCTTTATAATCTTTTCCATTATTTTACATATTTTCATATATAGAATGCTAATGTTATTTACCTGACATACATGTAAAACCATGAATTTAATACATAGTTTAGTGACAACATAAATATATATAAATATGTGTCTGTTAGACTATGTCTTATTTTCGCATTATTAACTTATTTTATATGAAAAATAATGTTGAATTTTTTTAAAATAGAGCCTCACTAGATAGCTGTGGCTCTACTGAAATTTGCTATGTAGACTAGTTGGCCTCAAATTGAAAACTGTCTACCTGCCTCTGCCTTCCTAGTGCTAGGATTAATGATGTGAACCATAATGCCTGACTTGAATGTTTATCAGCCATTAAGTTCTTTCTAAGAGTCACATGAAACAAAGTTTTATGATCATATGATGAGTATAGCACACAACTGGTCTAAGAAGCCTTATGTGTGGGGGAGGAACAGAAGTTTAGGGATTCACACATTTTGCTTTGTATCTTCAAAGAAAGAGGAGTGGAGAGAGTAGAGATAGTGTCAAGGCATAGAAAAGATGCAAACATTCCTCTTTTTTTTTATTGAGAAAAGAAGAAAAAAAACATAAACAAAAATCAAGTTTCCACCTCCTTCCAGCCTCCCATTTCCCTCCCCCTCCTCCCACCCTTCTCCCCCTCCTCCCACCCTTCTCCCCCTCCCCCCACTCCTCTCCCCCTCCCTCTCCCCTCTCCAGTCCACAGAGCAGTCCAGGTTCCCTGCCCTGTGGTAAGTCCTAGGTCCTCCCCCCTCCGTCCATATCTAGGAAGGTGAACATCTAAACTGGCTAGGCTCCCACAAAGCCAGCACATTAAGTAGGATCAAAACCCCGTGCCATTGTCCTTGGCATCTCATCAGCCCTCATTGTTCGCCATGTTCAGAGAGTCCGGTTTTATCCCATGCTTTTTCGGTCACAGTCCAGCTGGCCTTGGTGAGCTCCCAGTAGATCAGCTCCACTGTCTCAGTGGGTGGGTGCACGCCTCGTGGTCCCGACTTCTTTGCTCATGTTCTCCCTCCTTCTGCTCCTCATTGGGACCTTGGGAGTTCAGTCCGGTGCTCCTGTGTGGGTCTCTGTCTCTATCTCTATCCATCACCAGATGAAGGTTCTATGATGATATGCAAGATATTCGTCAGTATTGCTCTAGGATAGGGTCATTTCAGGTTCCCTATCCTCAGCTGCCCAAGGAACTAACTGGGAACCTCATCTTGGGCACTTGGGAGCCCCTCTAGGGTCAAGTCTCATGCCCACCCTAAAGTGGCTCCCTTGACTAAGAATTGTGGTTCCGTGCTCTCCTATCCACCTTTCCTTTATCCCAATTCTCCTGTTTCCCCAAGTTCCCCCTCCTTCCCTTCTTCCTATTCTCTCCCCATCTCCCCTTACCCCCATCCCACCCCACCCCCAAGATCCCAATTTTCTCCCCGGCAATTTGGTCTACTTCCCTTAGCCAAGAGGGTAACTATATGTTTTTCCTTGGGTTCACCTTCTTACTTAGCTTCTTTAGGTTCACCTGTTGTAGACTCCCGTGGCCCTTATTTATGGCTAGAAACCAATTATGAGCGAGTACATCCCATGTTCATCTTTTTGGGTCTGGGACACCTCACTCAGGATAGTGTTTTCTATTTCCATCCATTTGCATGCAAAATTCACGAAGTCATTGTTTTTTACCGCAGTGTAGTACTCTAGCGTGTATATATTCCATACTTTCTTCATCCATTCTTCCATTGAAGGGCATCTAGGTTGTTTCCAAGTTCTGGCTATTACAAATAATACTGCTATGAACATAGTTGAACAAATGCTCTTGTCATATGATCGGGCATCTCTTGGGTATATTCCCAGGAGTGGTATTGCTGGGTCCAGGGGTAAGTTGATCCCGAATTTCCTGAGAAACCGAAACACTGACTTCCACAGTGGTTGCACAAGATTGCATTCCCACCAGCAATGGATGAGGGTACCCCTTCCTCCACAGCCTCTCCAGCAAAGGTTATCCTTGGTGTTTTTGACTTTAGCCATTCTGACAGGTGTAAGATGATATCTCAGAGTTGTTTTGATTTGCATTTCCCTGATTGCTAAGGAAGTTGAGCACGACCTTAAGTGTCTTTTGGCCATTTGAACTTCTTCTGTTGAGAATTCTCTGTTCAGATCAGTGCCCCATTTTTTAATTGGGTTAATTAGCATTTTAAAGTCTAGTTTCTTGAGTTCTCTATATATTTTGGAGATCAGACCTTTGTCTGTTGCGGGGTTGGTGAAGATCTTCTCCCAGTCAGTAGGTTGCCTTTGTGTCTTAGTGACAATGTCCTTTGCTTTACAGAAGCTTCTCAGTTTAAGTAGGTCCCATTTATTCAATGATGCCCTTAATGTCTGTGCTTCTGGGGTTATACATAGGAAGCGATCTCCTGTGCCCACCTGTTGTAGGGTATTTCCCACTTTCTCTTCTATCAGGTTCACTGTGTTCGGGCTGATATTGAGGTCTTTAATCCATTTGGACTTGAGTTTTGTGCACGGTGATAGATATGGGTCTATTTTCATTCTTCTACAGGATGACATCCAGTTGTGCCAGCACCATTTGTTGAAGATGCTTTCTTTCTTCCATTGTATACTTTTAGCTCCTTTATCAAAAATGAGGTGTTCATAGGTTTGTGGGATAAAATCCGGGTCTTCTATACGATTCCATTGGTCGACTTCTCTGTTTTTATGCCAGTACCACACTGTTTTCATTACTGTAGCTCTGTAATAGAGTTTGAAGTCAGGGATGGTAATGCCTCCAGAAGATCCTTTATTGTATAGGATTGTTTTGGCTATCCTGGGTTTTTTGTTTTTCCATATAAAGTTGATTATTGTCCTCTCCAGATCTGTGAAGAATTTTGATGGGATCTTGATGGGGATTGCATTGAATCTATAAATTGCCTTTGGTAGAATTGCCATTTTTACTATGTTGATCCTCCCAATCCAAGAGCAAGGGAGGTCCATCCATTTTTTGGTATCCTCTTCAATTTCTTTCTTCAATACTTTAAAGTTCTTGTCAAATAGATCTTTCACTTCCTTGGTTAGATTTACCCCAAGATATTTTATGCTGTTTGTGGCTATTGTGAATGGTGAAGCTTCTCTGATTTCCCTCTCTGCTCCCATATCCTTTGTGTATAAGAAGGCGACTGATTTTTTGGAGTTGATCTTGTATCCTGCCACATTACTAAAGCTGTTTATCAGCTGTAAAAGTTCTTTGGTGGAGTTTTTGGGGTCGCTTAAGTACACTATCATATCATCTGCAAATAACGAAAGTTTAACTTCTTCCTTTCCAATTCGAATCCCCTTGATCCCATTATGTTGTCTTATTGCTATTGCTAGATCTTCAAGCACTATATTGAAGAGGTATGGCGAGAGTGGACAGCCTTGTCGTGTTCCTGAGTTAAGTGGGATGGCTTTGAGTTTCTCTCCGTTTAATTTGATGTTAGCTGTCGGCTTGCTGTATATAGCTTTTATTATATTTAGGTATGGCCCTTGTATCCCTAATCTCTCCAAGACTTTTAACATAAATGGATGTTGAATTTTGTCAAATGCTTTTTCAGCATCTAATGAAATGATCATATGTTTTTTTTCTTTCAGTTTATTTATATGCTGGATTACATTGATAGATTTTTGTATGTTGAACCAGCCCTGCATCTCAGGAATGAAGCCTACTTGATCATAATGGATAATTTTTCTAATGTGTTCTTGGATACGATTTGCCAGTATTTTGTTGAGGATTTTTGCGTCGATATTCATGAGTGAGATTGGCCTGTAGTTCTCTTTCCTGGTTGAGTCTTTGAGTGGTTTTGGTATCAGAGTAATTGTGGCTTCATAAAAGGAATTTAGTAATGACCCTTCTGTTTCTATATTGTGGAATACATTAAGGAGTATAGGTATTAGGTCTTCTTGGAAGTTCTGGTAGAATTCTGCATTGAAACCATCTGGTCCTGGGCTTTTTTTGGTAGGGAGGTTTTTGATAACAGCTTCTTATTCTTCGCGAATGACAGGTCTGTTTAGATTGTTCACCTGGTCCTGGTTTAGTATTGGTAAATGGTATTTATCTAAAAACATGTCCATTTCTTTTACATTTTCCAGTTTTGTGGCATACAGGCTTTTGTAGTAAGATCTAATGACTCTCTGAATTTCCTCTGTGTCTGTGGTTATGTCCCCCTTTTCATTTCTGATCTTATTAATTTGCGTGTTCTCTCTCTGCCGTTTGATTAATTTGGTAGGGGTTTATCAATCTTGTTGATTTTCTCCAGGAACCAGCTTTTTGTTTCATTGATTCTTTGGATTGTTTTCTGTGTTTCTATTTTGTTGATTTCAGCCCTCAATTTGATTATTTCCAGTCTTCTACTCCTCCTAGGTGAGTCTGCTTCTTTTTTTTCTAGAGCTTTCAAGTGGGCTGTTAAGTCTCCAATATGTGCTTTCTCTGTTTTCTTTAAGTGGGCACTTAGTGCTATGAACTTTCCTCTCAGGACTGCTTTCATAGTGTCCCATAAGTTCGAGTATGTTGTTTCTTTATTTTCATTGAATTCAAGGAAGACTTTAATTTCTTTCTTAATTTCTTCCTTAATCCAGGTATGGTTCAGTAGTTGACTGTTCAGTTTCCATGAGTTTGTAGGCTTTCTGGGGGTAGCATTGTTGTTGAATTCTAACTTTAATCCATGGTGATCTGATAAGACACAGGTGGTTACTAATATTTTTTTGTAACTGTGTAAGTTAGCTTTGTTACCGAGTATGTGGTCAATTTTCGAGAAGGTTCCATGAGCTGCAGAGAAGAAGGTATATTCTTTCCTCTTTGGGTGGAATAATCTATAGATGTCTGTTAAGTCCATTTGATTCATTACCTCCATTAATTCTCTTATTTCTCTGTTAGGTTTCTGTCTGATTGACCTGTCCATTGGTGAGAGAGGAGTGTTGAAGTCTCCTACTATTAGTGTGTGTGATTTGATGGCTGCCTTGAGTTTTAGCAATGTTTCTTTTACGTACGTGGGTGCTTTTATATTAGGGTCATAGATATTCAGGATTGAGACTTCTTCCTGATGAATTGTTCCTGTTATGAGTATAAAATGTCCCTCTCCATCTCTTCTGATTGATTTAAGTTTGAAGTCAACTTTGTTCGAAATTAGTATGGCCACACCTGCTTGTTTCTTAGGTCCATTTGCTTGATAAGCCTTTTCCCAGCCCTTTACTCTGAGTAGGTGCCTGTCTTTGTGGTTGAGGTGTGTTTCTTGTAAACAGCAGAATGTTGGATCCTGTTTTCGTATCCAATCTCTTAGCCTGTGCCTTTATATAGGTGAGTTGAGCCCATTGATATTAAGTGATATTAATGACCAGTGGTTGTTAACTCCGGTCACTTTTTTAGTAGTAGGGTTTGTGTGTTTCCCTTCTTTGATTTGCGCTGGTGAAGGGTCTCTAGATGTCTGATTTATTGTGGTCATTGTTGGACTCCTTGGTTAGTGATTTTCCTTCTATTATTTTCTGTAAGGCTGGATTTGTGGCTACGTATTGTTTAAATTTGTTTTTATCCTGGAAAATTTTGTTTTCTCCATTTATAGTGAACAAAAGTTTGTCTGGATATAGTAGTCTGGGCTTGCATCCGTGGTCTCTTAGTTTTTGGAGTACATCTATCCAGGACCTTCTGGCTTTCATGGTTTCCATAGAGAACTCAGGTGTAAGTCTGATAGGTTTACCTTTATAAGTAACTTGGCCTTTTTCCTTTGCGGCTCTTAATATTCTTTCTTTATTCTGTATATTTTGTGTTTTGATTATTATATGGCGAGGGGATGTTTTCTTTTGTTCCAGCCTATTTGGTGTTCTGTATGCTTCTTGAACCTTCATAGGTACATCTGTCTTCAGGTTGGGAAAGTTTTCTTCTATAATTTTATTAAGTATATTTTCTGGACCGTTGAGCTGCACTTCTTCTCCTTCTTCTACTCCAATTATTCTTAGGTTTGGTCTTTTTATTGTGTCCCATATTTCCTGAATGTTTTGTGATGAGAGTTTGTTGGACTTGCTGTTTTCTTTGATCAGAGCGTTTATTTTCTCTATGTTATCCTCAGAATCTGAGATTCTTTCTTCTATCTCTTGTATTCTGCTGGTTATGCTTGATTCTGTAGTCTCTATTCGTTTACCTAGATTTTTCATGTCCAGCCGGCCCTCTGTTTGTGTTTTCTTCTTTGCCTCCATTTCAGTTTTCAAGTCATGAACTGTTTCCTTTATCTGCTTGATTGTTTTTCCTTGGTTTCCTAGGGTATCATTCATTGATTTACTCAATTCCTCGAACTTTCTCTTATACTTCTCATCCATTTCTATTAGGTCGTTTTTTATATGCTGTTTAAGGGTGTCAATCACTTTCATGAAGTCAGTTTTTTCTACTTCTTCTTGATTAAGGTGTTCATGTTCTCCTGTTGTGAGGTCACTGGCTTCTGGTGGTTTCGTGTTGTTTTTCAGATTGTTGGGAGAATTCCTGCATTGGCGTCTGCCCATCTCTTCCTCCCAATACTCCCCTTTGGTTCTTCTTTTACAGGATCAGGTCTTCTTGCCCACTGATGTACCTTCCCAGTTATGTCACTCCCCAGAGATGTTTCTCCACAATGATGTTTCACTTGGGGCCCAGATCGAAACTCCGCTGCTTGGTTAGCTATGTGGGCAGGCTATGGGAACAAAGGAGCTACCGGCTACCCCTTTGTCCTCCCGGTTCGGGTTGGGTCCCAGCGCCCTAGCAGGCTGCGCAGGGAGGCGCTATGCCGCCAAGGAAGGGAGGAAGGGAGGGAGACAGGGGGTGGGGGGATCTGGATGTAAGCTGTATGGGATAGGAAGAGAGAGGAGGTATGGGCAGTATAGCCCCTGTAGGATGGCCAGGAAGTGTAGGCGGGCTGAGGTATGTTCCCAGCTGCCACAGCACTCACTCACCACAATGATGTTTCACTCCTGTGCCCAGATCGAAACTCCGTGCTGCTTGGTTAGCTCGCGAACAAAGGGCCCCGCAAACATTCCTCTTATCAGTAAGATTTTAACCATGGGTATTTGTTTTCCTAGGCAGAAAGCTCTCTACCCAATGTGATGGAGTCAGCGTACTATTTTGAACAAGCTGGAGTTGGTTTGGGGACAGATGAGACTTATCGGGTGTTTCTTGCCCTCAAGCAACTTACTGAAACACACCCAATCCAAAGATGCCGCTTCTGGGGCAAGATCTTGGGTCTGGAAATGAATTATATCATTGCTGAAGTAGAATTACGTGAAGGGGAAGATGAAGAGGAGGTGGAAGAGGAAGGTGTAGCTGAAGAAAGGGACGATGTAGAAAGTGAAGCCGGGGAAGGCGAGGAGGACGAATTACCAAAGTCCTTGTATAAGGCCCCACAGGTGATACCCAAGGAAGAAAACAGAACAGGTACAAACAAGTACATCTATTTTGTTTGCAATGAGCCTGGAAGGCCATGGGTGAAGTTACCATCAGTGACGCCTGCTCAAATTGTTACCGCAAGAAAAATCAAGAAATTTTTCACTGGACGACTAGATGCGGCCATCATAAGCTACCCACCCTTCCCAGGAAATGAAAGCAATTACTTAAGAGCACAAATTGCCCGCATTTCAGCAGGGACCCATGTCAGTCCTCTAGGATTCTATCAGTTTGATGAAGAGGAAGGAGAAGAAGAAGAAGAGGTGGAAGGTGGCCGAGACAGCTATGAGGAAAACCCCGAATTTGAAGGCATCCAAGTGACTGACCTGGTGGAATCTCTATCCAATTGGGTTCATCATGTGCAGTACATTCTTCCTCAGGTAGGAGTGTATTCGGGTAGTACATAGATTTAGACTGACATGTGTTCCGAGATGATCTGCTATATTTTACATATTGATGTGCATTAATTTTGTCAACAGTTCTTTTATTTTACATGAAGCTCTCATGTCAAAAAACACTAAACAATTACTACAGACATGAAAACTAGTTTTTTTTTTTACTTTTACAAATGGGACAGTATATTTACATGGAAAAAACAACAGTACAGAAAATAAGATTCTCCTGTTTTTGTGAGATATACACAGAAATGTGAACATTGTGTAAAATGTTGTTTACTTCAGAATGTGGGCTTTCTTTGTAAAACCAAAGTAATCTTCTGTAATCAGACCAATAAGACAACTACCAAACAAGACAAAACCAGAATCATAATAAAATGCAGAGTCAGGAGGATTCCCAGAATGGCCGATTCCTAGGTTTCATTTCCAAGTGCAGAAGATGATGGCTTCTGCTTTTTTTTTCTTTTTTTTTTAAATTTATTTATTTATTAAGGATTTCTGCCTCCTCCCCGCCACCGCCTCCCATTTCCTTCCCCCTCCCCCGATCAAGTCCCCCTTTCTCATCTGCTCGAAGAGCAATCAGGGTTCCCTGCCCTGTGGGAAGCCCAAGGACCACCCACCTCTATCCAGGTCTAGTAAGGTGAGCATTCAAACTGCCTAGGCTCCCACAAAGCCAGTACGTGCAGTAGGATCAAAAACCCATTGCCATTGTTCTTGAGTTCTCAGTAGTCCTCATTGTCCGCTATGTTCAACGAGTCCGGTTTTATCCCATGCTTTTTCAGACCCAGGCCAGCTGGCCTTGGTGAGTTCCCGATAGAACATCCCCATTGTCTCAGTGTGTGGGTGCACCCCTCGTGGTCCTGAGTTCCTTGCTCGTGCTCCCTCTCTTTCTGCTCCTGATTTGGACCTTGAGATTTCTGTCCGGTGCTCCAATGAAAACTAGTTTTGTACAGTGGTTATATAGGGGCTCTGTGCCAGGAACACTGTATATAATCAATTATGTATTTAAATACGTAGGATTCCATCCTCACCACAACCCCATGAAAGATTGCAGGATTCCTTTTGTACAATGAGGGGTTGAGGCAGACAGGGTGGGAGAGATGGTAAAGCAACCTCAGCTGATTCATTATAGAGTGAGGTGTGAGACAAAGGACCCAGAGCCCGTCCTGTGAAACACCTGCTGCACTCTTCCATCATATGTAGAAAGTCTTCACTTCCATACAGATAATAGGTTCTTCTGAGGACTCTAGATAAGGGTTATTGCCTGAGCAATTAGGACCCCAGGTTTATAACACTTGAAATTTTGTGATTAATATTAATTAGCATGGAAGGAAATTCAGCTAATGAGCTGAATTTGAAAGTACATTATATACTTGTATGTAAGCATTACAATGAAAAATCTTTTGTTCAGTTACTCATAAATTGAAATTATGCTAATAAAAATAATTATTAAAAAGTACTATCGCCAGGTGATGGTGATACACACCTGTAATCCCAGCACTCAGGAGGCAGAGGCAGATAGATCTGTGAGTTCACAGTCAGATTGGTCTACAGAGTGAGTAGTGAGTACCAGGACAGTCAGGACTACACAGAGAAACCCTGTCACAAAAAGCAAACAAATAAAAAAAAAAGTACAATGAAGGCCAGATATGTATAAACCATGTCACCAGGAATCTTGTGGCAATGTCTTACAACTGTTTATATTTAAGGAATATTCTACAAATAAGGAAGCACAGGAACTGGACATAAGAGAGCTTGCTGCTCTTCCAGAAGACCCGAGTTTTGTTTCCAGTATCGTTGACAGACAGCTCACAATGTCCTGCAACTCCAGGTCTAGGATATCTGAATGTTCTTCTGACCTTCATGGACACCTGCACACAGGTGTCACACGTGCGCACGCACAAGCACAAACACACATTTTTTAAAAGAGGGAATTGTAATGATGGATTTTAATTTTTTTGAGACAGGGTCTAATTATGTATTCCTGACTAGTCTGGGACTTGCTTTGTAGAACAGGCTAGCCTTGAATTCTCAGGGTTGTGCCTGCCTCTGCCTCCTGAATACTGGAATTAAATGTGTGTGCCACCATGTCTGGCTTTAATGACTGAATTTTAAAATGTTAAGTGATCTTAAAATCTTTCTGATGATTTCTAATCTAAAATAACATATTGATACAATCAATTAGAACGTTTCAAAAGAAATGAAAAAAGTTTGCTTTTGAAAGTCACCATTTACTTTATTTATATAAAGTGTAGCAAACTAGTTAAATGTATTACTACCATTTCTGTAAAGATTCTGCCCATTTTAAAGACTGCATAGACCTTAAAGTTCTGTAACTTCAAGAAATGTAAAATTATTGAAATAACTCATACAGGTTTGTTGTTTTTCCTGAAGAAACCCAAATGGAAATAACACTTGGTAAAAACATACAGAAAGAAGAAGCTCAGTGTGGAGGCATGTGTCAGCAAGTCTAGCACTGGGAAAACTGAAGTAGGAGTGTAGTGCTATATTATCTGTATTTTGATAAATAAATCTTGCCTGAAGACCAGAGGCAAAGCTAAAGCCACTAGAGGTCAAGCAATGGTGATACACACCTATAATCCCAGGATTTGGGATACAGAGTCAGATGGATCTCTGTGAAGTCAAGGCCACCCTGAGCTACACAAGATCAATACAAAAACAAATCTGGGGTAGTGGTGTCTCACACCTTCAATCCCAATCCCAGGGAGTCATATGTCCTTAATCTCAGCACTAGAGGGAATATAAAATGGGAGGAGAGAGAGGCTTAGTCTGCTGTTTCCTAGTCTTGGTAGAGGTAGCCTTCTCTAGTGGCTTGGCTGCTTTGCTTTTCTGGTTTTTGGGTTGAACCCCAATATACGTCTTTGGCTTTTTATTATTTGTGCTACACAGGAGGATCATAGAAAGTGACCCTGCATCAGAATAGTTGGGCAAGTTTCCCATACAGAGAAGTCTTGTCTTGATAATTACCAACCATATATTCTGTTTTTTGTTTGTTTGTTTGTTTTTGTTTTTGTTTTTTGAGACAGGGTTTCTCTGTGGTTTTGGAGCCTGTCCTGGAACTAGCTCTTGTAGACCAGGCTGGTCTCGAACTCACAGAGGTCCGCCTGCCTCTGCCTCCCGAGTGCTGGGATTAAAGGCGTGCGCCACCACTGCCCGGCCCAACCATATATTCTGAATATATTAAGAATATTCTGACAATATTAAGGTTTTCATTAATCTACTAAACGTTGCAACATTCATCTCCAGGGTCGCTGTACTTGGTTCAATCCTATACAAAAGAATGAGGAAGAGGAAGAAGAAGAGGATGACGAAAAAGAAGACAAAGGAGAAGAGCCTGACTACATAGAACAGGAAGTGGGGCCTCCTCTTTTGACACCAATCTCTGAAGATTTAGGTAACTTTACACACTGTTAATGAGGACTCATAAGTTATATATTACACATGTGTCGTAAACTTGAAACCGTTGGAAACCCTAAAGAGGGGCAGAGAGCTAGGGCTCATCCCTTATCTCTGCCCTGGGTTCTGTAGGGTGGGAGTAAAGAAGGCTTTGGGCTATACTAGTGCTTTGAGAGCGGCTGAAGGACTGGTGCAGAGAGGAAACGTGGATGGGCTGTAACTAACAGGAAAGGCTGACATTCCTCTTGTCTTGCCTTCAGTATACCACAAGCACGTGGCACAGCTATGGTACAACGTTATGCGTGGTCTCTAACGAATGTCTAATCTATATTTGTCTCTCTATTGTTTCTTCCTATTCTGTTTTGCTTGCAACTCTTACTAGGTTTTTCCCATAGTAATGATTTATCTTTTCTTTGGTGATCAAACTTCTTCTCCTTTAGTAAAGCCTCCATTGCAAAAATGTTTGTACATATTTACATGTTTGTAAATATTTATACATAAGCTATATGTGTGTGTGTGTGTGTGTGCGTGCGTGAGTGTGAGCACACTATATACATATATACATCCATACAATTATATTGCCCTAGGGCACTCATAAAATACTCTCTTGAAACAGGTAGTGGTGGCTCATGCCTTTAATCTCAGCATTTCGGAGGCAGAAGCAGGTGGATCTCATGGAGTTCCAGGCCAGCCTGGTCTACAAAGCTACTTCCAGGATAGCCAGGACTGTTACACAGAAAAACCCTGCCTTGAAAAATGAAAAAAAAAAAAAGAAACCTCTATTGATTTTTATATCAAGCTTCTCTTTTATCTTTTTACATTTTAAAACTTTGTTTCATTTTACATATTAGGCCCAGTTTCCCCTCCCTCTACCCATCCCATCCCCCATCCACTCCTCAGAAGAGGTAAGCCCTCCCTTGTGGAGTCAACAAAGTCTGATGCACCAAGCCCCTACCCCCTGTATAAGGCATCCCATCATAGAGAATGGGCTACAAAAAGCCAGTTCATGTACCCAGGATGAGTCCTGGTCCCATTGCCAGGGGTCCTCTCAACAGATCAAGCCAGATAACTGTCACTCACATTCAGAGGGCTTATTTCTGGTACATGCAGATTCCCTAACTGTGAGTCTTGAGTCCCTAAGCTCCCACTAGCTGAGGTCAGTTGTGACTGTGGTTTTCCCAAACATGGTTATGACTGGCCCTTGTCCTTATGATTCCTTCTCCTTCTCTTCAACTAAATTACAACCCAGTGTCTGGGTGTAGATCACTGCATTAGCTTCCATCAGTTACTGGATATAGGTTTTATGATGACAATAAAGGTAGTCACTAATCTGATTAAAGGGCAAGGCCCTTTCAGACATGCTCTCCATTATGACTAGGAGTCTTAGGTGGGGTCATCCTTGTTTAGAGAGAAACACCATAATGACTTTCTCTATCGAGATACGTTTTTCATTGCTCTCCCCCTCTGTCCCTCCCCCAACTTGGTTTTATTAATCCCTCAAGTTCTCATCCCCCATCCTCTCCCTTCTATCTCTTCCCAGGCTGCCCAGGAGATCTTAACTATTTCCCTTTCCTGGTGCCTTCCATGTGTGTCTATCTTAGAGTCCTCATTTTTGCATAGTTCCCTGGGTTTGTGGATTGCAGCCTGTTTATCTTTGTTTCATGTCTAATATCCACTTATGAGTGCATGCATACTGTTTTTTTCTTTCTGTGTCTGGGTTACCTCACTCAGGATTTTTTTCTACTTCCATCCATTTGCCTACAAATCTCAAGATGTCCTTGCTGAGTAACATTGAGTAAATGTACATCAGAATGGCTAAGATCAAAAACACTGATGACAGCCTATGCTGCAGAAGATGTGGAGTAGGGGAATGCTCCTCCACTGCTGGTGGGAGTACAAACTAGCACAGACACTTTGGAAATCAGTATGGCATTTTCTCAGAAAAATGGGGATCAACCTACCTCAAGTCCAACAATACCATTCTTGGGCATATACCCAAAGGATTCTCAATCACACCACAAAGGCAGTTGTTCAACTATGTTCACAGTAGCATTATTTGTAAAAGCGAGACATGGAAACAATCTAGATGCCCCTCCACCAAAAAATGGATAAAGAAAACGTTTTAACTTTTTATAGCAAATGTTGATGACTGTTCCATATTTATAAAAATTACTTTAGTTACCAGTAGATTCTTGTTCTGTTTGAAGCTTATAACTTTTTCATTGGGTTCCAGATATTCAGAATATACCCTCTTGGACAACACGGCTGTCCTCAAATCTCATTCCACAGTATGCTATTGCTGTCCTTAGATCCAATCTTTGGCCTGGAGCATATGCCTTTTCCAATGGCAAGTAAGTATCTGGCCACTTACAAAGCCATTTGTAACCAAACTTCACGGCTTATATTTTGGTGAGTGCAAAACCAAAGTCAGCCCCACCAGAACATAAAGCTGGGAAAGGATTTATTTACCCACAGCAGGTAAGCAGGATATTGAAACCCATTTCAATGCACCTTTCTGGCCAAAGGATGGAAGGATGATGCTTTTGTCCGGGGAGCCCATACATTTACCCAAGGCAGAGACAGTCCTGTGTGTAGTGTACTGAGCGTAAGCAGGGCAGTCCGAAGCATATTCATTCAAAGTCACAATCCAGAAAGGAATGATTACAAACATATTTTGAGTTATGTTTAGCTGAAATTCATAAATAACATGGCTTGGGATTTGAATCCTAAATAGGAATGACTCTGGGTGTTCTCAGCTTGCATGGTAAATTTTACATAGAAATAAAAGACACACTGAAAGTACATTCATATAAGCATTTGGCTTTAAAAACCTTGCTTAGTGTCTGACAATTCTAATTGTTTAGGCTCTGGAAATTATGTTATCACAGTTGTTGTTAATACTGTCTTTACTCCTCTTTGGCATGTTAGATATATAATGTGTGATTTATTAAAATGACTTCTGTAATATAGTAAAGATAAAGTTCAGAGCTAGAAAATTCAGGGTTGTACTTTATCATCTTAATTATCCCATTTAACTATAATGGACTGGTTTTATATTACTCACTTAGTAATTTAGTAGAGAGTTTATCCCTTGCTGTGAAAAACAGTTTCATTTGTCTTGTTTCTGATTCTTTCTTAATTAGTATCAGAAAGCACAACTGAACAGGTAAAAGTCAAGCTGCCTTGGTTAGACTAGCCATTAATGAATGCCCCATGTTCAGGTGTTAGTTGGCCAACACAAAACACACTTTGTGTGTATGTGTCTGATCCATTGTTTCTAAGAAAGAAAACTGAGTTGGATGCATGGGGGATTTGAAAGGAGTTGGAGAAAAGAAAAGAAAATGATGAAATATATCATATGAAAAAAAAAGAAAGCACAGTTAAGACAAAAGTGAAAGCTAGTGGCTACAGGGAGTTTGACTAAGCTCCAGTGAGTATATGGGCAACATAAATTGGACATATGTGGTTCTTTCTTCTTTTTTGGGGGGGGGGTCACAAGAGTTGGGGGTAGACTTGGAAGGACTGCAAAGTGGGTGTAATTGGGGTGCATAATGTGAAATTCCCAAATAATCAATAGAAATATTATATTGGGGAAAAAACAAGTAAAAGCCAAGCTTTTAATTATTTACCATGATAATATGAGGAAGAGAATTTTGACTCCCCCCGCCCACATTATTCTCTCCCAAGGATGAAATGCATTTGCAGAATTGTGTATGTCACTGATATGTGGTCATCTCTTTGAGAAGGAACCCCATGAAAAAGATTGAAGAAGTTTAATGGAGATGTAGGTGGGATCATGTGAAGGGGTGGGCCTTCCAGCCAGAGATAGAACACTGAGAATGGAGGCTCTTTACTTAGGGTTGCATGACCAGCCTTGGGGGCAGATGAAGGTTCTTGAGTTAGGGATACATGACCAGCCTTGGGGGCAGAAGAAGGCTCTTGATTTAGGGAAGCATGACCATCCTTAACTGAAACGCCCTCTATCAAAGGGGGAGGGGTCTGTCGACTGGTTATGCATCATGTCCTAAGTGAGGTGAGGCCTACAAGAAAAAGCATCTGCAATTTCCTATGACCATGCCTGAAAAAAATAACACATCAGTTTTAGCTACACCTCTTATTCTTCACCCAGCCAAGGCTAGCAACTTTTGAACTTTGTAGAAAATTTCTGTAAAAAAGAAAAAAAAATTAAATAATTGAATAACTGAAGAAGGCCCTTTCTTGAGGAAGGTCTAGATACAGGGTGCATTTTTGATAAGATCTGGCTGGTTTATTTTAAACTTAATTTTATGTACATTGGTGAAGATGTCAAAGTCAGTTGTGAGCTGCCATGCTGGGAATTGAACTCAGATCCTCTGAAAGAACAGCCAATGCTCATAACCTCTGAGCCATCTCTCCAGACCTCTGGCTGTTTTCCATAACCAACTTAGCAATTTAGTAAAAAATAATTTCCAGTAGTTGATGAATTACTGGGGACAATTTCACTCTGGCAATTTATACACCCTGTTTTAAAAAACAAATAAACAAAACAGGGTTCCAAGATATAGTAGCAAGATCTTATTAGTATAAAGGGGTCAACCTTCCTAAAGAGACATGACTTTATTTTCTTTTCACTCACAGAAAGTTTGAAAACATCTACATAGGCTGGGGTCATAAGTATAGTGTGGAGAATTACACACCCCCAGGCCTGCCACCAGTATACCAAGAATACCCCAGTGGACCGGAAATTACAGAAATGGATGATCCCAGTGTGAGTGAGGAACAGGCTTCCAGGGCCACACAGGAGGCCACTGTACTTTCAGCTGAGGAGAATGAAGAAACTGATGATGAAGATGATGACAATGATGACTAACACGAAATTAGCCCAGTCTGATGTGGCACTGACACACACAAATCTTTTACGGAGACTCATTTTATATACATACATATATTTTGAAAATACATATATGTGTATGTTAGAAATGATGGTACAAAATATCATTCCTTTAAAGTTATTAAGTGGAGGATTGGGGGGGGGGGGAGAGGTGGCTCAGCGGTTAATAAATATTTTGCCCTTGCCAAGGACAGTTCCCAACACCCAAGTCAGGTGGCTCAAGGTCTAGTCCCAATGTCCTTTCCTGTGCTCCACAGCAACTGCATGTGGGCATGAGTCACGTGTGCTAACACACATATAGTTAATCTTTAAAAAATGTTTTAAAAATTAGGTATGCTGAAACACACCTTTAATCCCAGCACTTGGAGGGGCAGAGGCAGTAGGACCTTTTTGAATCCAAGGCCACCCTGGTTAACTTAGCGAGTCCCAGGACAGTCAGTGCTACATAGGGAGACCACATCTTGAAAAAAACAAAGCTTGAAAAAATACATCACATTTGAGAATGCATATAAAGAGCTGATGTACAGGAAGTTGCCCAGTAGATTTTCCAGCTCATATGAGCACATCACTGCTTTAATAGCTACAACTCAGGTAATTAACACTTAAGTAATCTGATTGGGAAAGATCTCTCCAACAGGATTTCACTATGTATCTCTGGTTGTCTTGCAACTCACTCTGTATACCAGGATGACCTCAAACTCACATAAATCTGTCTGCCTCTGCCTCCCAAGAGCTGAGATTAAATTTTGTACCACAATGCTCAAATTTAATTTCAAATTCAGCAAGTATTGAAAGTTATAATTCACAATGCTTCTTGGAAATGCCTAGATTTTGAGTGTCAAGGCATATGGAATTTAAAACTTTGATAACCAGGGACTGGAGAGATGGCTCAATGGTTAAGAGCACTTATTCTTGTTGTTGTTGCAGAGGACTTGGGTTCAGTTCCCAGAAATCAAACTGGGCAGCTAAACAACTACCTGTTAACTCCAGTTCTGTCAGATTTGATACCTCTTCCAAAGGCTACACACAAGTGCACACACACCCTCAAATAAAAATAAATCTTTACGAAATTGTGACAACTGTGTTACTTTTAGAAAGCAATCAGCAATTTACACTTTTCTACCTCCCTTGTCATAGAGTGGGAGATTGTAGATCACTGGACTATAATTTTGGTAAATCAGAAGGTGTCTACTCAATACTTGAGCAGATCTAAAATACTTATGAGTCACTGCATAGACTACTATGGTGGAATCACCACCTGGCTGTGGCTTACCAGATAAAAATCCGTCTGGCATCTGTCTCTGGAGGGCCTACATGGCATCTACTTGATCCACCTTCATTCTCCCAGCATTAAGTTTAGTTTTGCCCACATAGCTCTATTCTACCCTATAATAGGCCCAAAAGAGTTTCCTTATACATTAACCAATAAAAGCAACACATATACAGAAGGACTTCTGACATCATCTCCCTTTTTTAGTCTAAATAAAAAGGAAGGTTTTAACTTTAACAAAGTAAAATACATATAAAAAAGAGATATCAAGCAAGAATTACAGTTACAATATATACTTCATCTTTTATGTAACAAAGGAAAACTATAACTATCTATTCTCCAACTCCAAGGGATCTGACATCTTCACCAATGTGCATAAAATTAAATTTAAAATAGACCAGCCAGATCTTGTCAAAAATGCACCTTGTATCTAGACCTTCTTCAAGAAAGGGCCTTCTTCAGTTATTCAATTATTTAATTTTTTTTACAGAGATTTTCTACAACATCAAAGACTACAGAAGGATATAATATTACCTAAGTAAACAGTGCATTGTAACAACTTCTAAAACATTAGAATTCACAAAGACATCTCGCTGCCTGGACAGTCACCCAAAGTTCTTTTGTAACACTGCAGCCACCCATCTTCATATAGTCCATAGTTTCTGGCAGACTTTTTTATGAAGCAGGGAATTTCAAAGAGAGTTCCACCTATATTGACAGTTTGTCAGTCACTTTTTTTCTGTGTCCTGCAGAATGTCTAGCAGACTCTTTCATGATGCAGGAAGCCCAAAGAATCATCTCACCTTTACACAAGTTCAGCAATCATTTTTCTGTGGGCCCTGCAGGTCTAGCTCATACAGCATAGTATCAAGCAGCCCAGGTAAGAGCAGTTTCTTACCCAAATGGCTAATCAATGCCATAAGGAGCCTCTTTGGTTCTACTTCATCCTCTTGAAGTAGCTTGGTGCTGCCAGCAACAGATGTGTCTCATTGTCAAGAAAAGTCCTAAGTTTTTTAAATGTTTAAATGCCATATTCAGTTAGTCCTTGAAAGATTTGAATACCTATTTAACTGAAATATATATCTATGTCTAGAAAATATCACTAACATGACTTACAAGCTTGACTATTATAGATGACTATCTATTAACCTATATTTCTTAATTATACATTACATCTTTAAATGAACTTCATAAACACAGTACCTTAATCAAGAGCAGAAATACATATACACAGTATAACAAAATTGACCTTAAATTTGTATCAATAAACCGAGATCCATACCAATGCAAAATATTCATGTCTATATCCTATCCCACTTTTGTGGGACAAATGTCTATATTCTCTCAATTATATTTTAAACAAATGATGACTGGCCAGTAGCCAGGCAAGAAGTATAGGTGGGACAACCAGACAGGAAGTTGAGGCAGGTCAATGAGAACAGAATTCTGAGAAGAGGAAACCCCATTCTCTCGGCAGTCGTGACCCAGCCACAGAAGAAGCAAGATGTGACTGCCTCGCTAAAAAAGGTACTGAGCCATGAGGCTAACGTAGACAAGAATAATGGGCTAATATAAGTTAAAAAGTTAATAAGAAGCCTGAGCTAATGGGCCAATCAGTTTATAATTAATGTAGACCTATGTGTGATTTCTTTGGGACTTAACAACTGTGGAAACTGAGCAGGACAGAAGCCCCAACAAATGGCACCCAACATGGGGCCAGGTGCGACAGAAACTCAGTCAAAAAATGGTGCCCAACATGTGGACTACACCACATAAAGCCTGGGAGAGGTTGGGAAGTAATTCTAGACAGAAAAGAATAAAGCATGGCTTCTTGGTAGCAGCAATTTCTTGGGTCTGCTCTGCTTGCTAGATGCAAGCAAGCCCTCTCATTGAAGAGAGGCTTCCTAACTCAGCTTTTGCTGCAAAACTTTGCAGCTCTTTTAAGAGGCCGTGCCATGAAACACTTAAACGGAACTGATGAAAAGCTGACCACATACGTTTTGGTTTTCAGTCATAGCAGGAAAAAAGCTGTGCTGTTTTAAAATGCCAGCTTTCAGGGATGTCCTGACAGTGCAAACTCTAACTCTTTCAGGCAGGAGGTCCAGCTACAGAGCATTTGAGTATGGTTTGTGAGCACTCTGTTGCAGCTTGCTTGCTGGCAAGGACCTTGAAACACCATAGAGTTGTGGCAATGAACATGGCTCCAGCCAGTACCTTACCATGAGGCTGGATTCTCAGAAAGCTAAGGAATGGGCTTGATCCAGCTGTCAAGGCCATGGCTTTAATCCTCTCCATATTGCTTAGCAAATTAAAGAATTACATGTCAGAAAAAGAGGTAAACAGTAAAGAGAGTCTCAAATAAGAAGAAAACCTCTAAATGTTTTACAATGTATTAAAAATATATGCAGGCGTGGGAGTGAAAAGAAAAAGGTTAAAGTCCTTTTAAAAACAGAGAGTAGTTGGGTATGGTGGCACACACCTTTAATCCCAACACTTGGGAGACAGAGGCAGAGAGACCTCGGTGAGCTCAAGTTGTGGTGGCATACACTTTTAAACCCAGCACTTGGGAGGCAGAGGCAGGCAGACCTCTGTGAGTTCAAGGACAGCCTGGTCTACAGACGGAGTTTCAAGACAGCCAAAGATACACAGAAAACCTGTCTTGAAAAGCAAAAAATCAAAAAATAAAAACAAAACAAATAGAATTTAAAATAAAGCCAAGTAAAGATGAAAAATACACAGAGAGTCTGGATACTGTATGTTATATACTCTTTGAACTGTTTAAATGCTGAGGAAGGAGCAAGAGCTGCTAAAAGATATTTATTTATAAATGCTGCTAAATTAATCTAAGATAGGTATTTTGAAAATACTTTGATTTCAAAATTGAAGTCAAAAGGTATGTTACTTTGGAGAAGAGAATCTGCTTTTGTTTCCACAGGAAATGAGAGGCTGTGGATTCATTCTGAGTTAAGAAAAATCAGGTTTGATCAAGGAAGATCACCTGAGAAATCTCCAGTAAAAACAGATGGCCCAAATGTCTGAGTTCTATATCCAGAAGAGATTCAAGCCTGTTGCTTGAGATGATCAAGACTCACATCATACTCCAGTCAGGACTTGAAAATAATTCTAAATTTTCGACAGGTCTCCATTAGATTATCTGTGCACCCAACGAGCAGAAAGTAGCCTGGAATACTATGCTCACATTCCCAAAAAACGGATTATGGATATTTTCCTTTGTTTAGAATGTTGATTACAAGTTGTTATGGCTAATGGTCAGGAAAAAAGCTAAACAAAGGATATTAGATTCAGAGTTCTTGTTTTTTAAAAAGAAAAATAAGAGGAGGAAGTGGTGTGGGACAAATGTCTATATCCTGTCAATTATATTTTAAATAAATGATTGGCCAGTAGCTCGGCAGGAAGTATAGGCGGAACAACCAGACAGGAAGTAGAAGCAGGTCAATGAGAACAGAATTCTGAGAAGAGGAAACCCCATTCTCTCAGGAGCCATGATCCAGCCACAGAAGAAGCAAGATGTGACTGCCCCGCAAAAAAGGTAACAAGCCATGTGGCTAACATAGACAAGAATAATGGGCTAATATAAGTTTAAAAAGTTACTAAGAAGCCTGAGCTAATAGGCTAATCAGTTTATAAGTAATGTAGACCTATGTGTGATTTCTTTGGGACTTAACAACCATGGAAACTGGGCAGAAAAGAAACCCGACAATACACTTTAAATGTAAACAAACATTTATAAACAATATTTGGGAACTGAGGTATAGGTCTCACCAAACTGCTTCCTGCTGTTTTTTGGGCAAAGTATTTGGGGG